CCCTTTTTACACGGAACCAGAACACCGCTTCTTTTCAAATGATCCTTAACATAGCCTTCCTAAAGTCCCTTGGCTTAATCCCCTGTCTCTTCTCCCTCCCCACTCAGCTAGCCTGACATTGAGAAAAGACTGGAGCAAAATACATCAGACCCATATGTGTATGACTTCACAAGCTGAATCAGCTTGTAACAAGGCCAGACACAAAGTTTTAAGTGTCTGACCATCACCACACCTTGGCTTGCTCTCCCACGGTTCAGCCTGTTCCTGTATCTCACAGCAGGATAGCTGCAGCATTACACAATCCACTGTTTATGGGGAAACCCAAATGTTGCTGGAGTAGTAGGGGGAAACAAGAGAGAACCTCTTTTCAAGTAGTAAGCACACCAGAGCAAACTCTTGATTTGCTAACTATTTGCTAAGAAAGGTACACAGCTATTAGTGAGTTTTCATTTAGATTAAGTTTTAACTCGGGATATTCTTTCTGACACCTTATTACAAAGCCTGAACTTGACTCTTCCAAAGCCTAGAAATCGATACCATCTCCATTTATTAGCTATGAATTATGGTTAGTGCAATCAAAATGATTTACCACATTGCTCTGGTGTGTATATGTATGTAAAATGAAAAGAATTGAGATATGCATACAAAACCACGTATCCATGCCTGCAGAGATTATACATATAGGACAGCTGTGGATAAAATCCGGAGCTACAGTGATTGCCACAGTCCAAAACTACAAATATATTCAAAGAGGAACACAAAAATCAGGGCCGGATGAGCTGGTTCATTGGTAGTTATTGAACAACAGGGTCTGCGTTTTTCTTTCAGGAAATCCACTGCTTGCCAGAGCTGGGAGGATGTACATCAGGTGAAGGACAACTCCATACTTATCCCAGGTTTATGTTTCTCTCTGAAATCTCACTGGCTGCTCTTAGAAAGAGGATACTGGTCTAGATAGTCTGTGGTGTGACCTTCAGTTCGTTCTTTCTTTCCATCTGTAAGCACATTGGTGTAAATATCTAAAACTTTTCCTTTGGTTTCCTCTACATTATCTTACCCCAGATGATCTACAGCAGAAATAATTCAGGCAGGCAACTTATTTGGCTTAAATGTACTCAGCAAAATCTGACATTTCTACCTTCTTTCTCATCAAAGTGTATCAACTTTGCTGTAAGAAGAGACACCCAGCGAGGAGCTTAACTGAAATTGTACAGACTCTAAAGTGCATCTGATCAACATCTCCCCACCACCAGATTCGAGCATTAAAGTTCACTGTGAATTGCTTAGAATCTCCCTGATGTCATTTTACATATTATCAACTTGATGAACAGTTTTACCTGGTACAGGCTGGCAAGGTGGTGTTTAGTTTTGATTAGAAAGGGTTGGTTGACCCCTGGATGATCTACGTCATGAGCTGCAGCAGCTAGCAGTCCGAGCATGATGTCCAGTGGAGTCAGGAAGCTGGCAAGCTAAATCACACAGGTTAATCACAAGAACATGTACAGTAAACAGTGTTTTTTTTTTTCTGTTGGCTAATAAACAAATCTGTAGACATCATGGCATTGCTCAGTTTTGTAGGCATTTGTACACATATGTCAAATATAAAATCGTTTTTGTGAACAACATTTTTAAGGTGACTGTTGATCAAACATGTATAAAGATATTAGACTATAGACTAATCTTTTATTACAGTTTGTATTTCTTATCTCTTTATCATTCATATCAATATAAGGATTATTGTTATAGGAGTGGTTGATCAGAGTCTGAAAAGAGTCAGTTTAGGGAAGTAAGTATACTAGAAGGTCTGCATATCTGATTATACATGGTTAGAACTTTGCCTCACACAGTATTTAGTAATACCAACAATACATCAGGCTTCATTCTTCCAGCACAGCACTGTGTTGTAAAATGCAGAGTTTGTAAACTTTTGAAATGTCTAACATGGCTGTTAGATATTTCAGTTCAAATACAAGTATTTTATTAGAGAACATAATTTATCTTTTTAACTTCAGACATCCAAGATTTAAAACCTGCCCAGATTTTTCCTTTTTTCTGCTACGCAGCTTATCTTTTAGAAGCAAATTATTTTTGTTATCATTAAAAAACAAAAGGATATTTTCTGTGTCTGATAGTGAGGTAGTTATTACCAACCCATGTACTGAGTACAGGTCTAAGAGCTCAAAGAAGCATCTGGAGATGAGAAATGAAGAGAAGTATGGTACAGATTCTGGATTTTGGCTGTCCTCCATACTTCTTAACAGAAAGGACTCACAAATCTTGCAGGAGATGAAAATACAGTAAAGCTGGGCCTGCTCCTGTCCTCACCATTACTATATTCTGGTGTATCAATTTGCCAATTCCAGCATAACTTCCTTTCATTCTAGTCAAGCCAGGAAAGATTAGTTTTATTTTTATGCTGTGGCTCACCATTACAGTATTACGGTGCCTTCCAGTAAGGCATAGAGCAACATTGCACCCTCATGTTATGAGGGCTTGCTGCAGCAGTCAAAAGCTGCTGTTCCCTCCTACAGAGGACACCCTTGCAACAGACCCAGTCAAAGGGACCATTTTGCCCTTTTCTGGTGTTGCACTGCCCAATCTGGTATTTTGAAATACCGATGTGAGGAGCTTATGTCCTGAGGTAACTGAGGCATAGGTATGTGTTTCCTTTTCCTGGCTTTGACGGGAGGACTGCAGCCACTGGTGGGTGGCTGGTACACATGGTCATGGTTGCTGGAGCTCATACAACAGCACTTTGTTATGTTGCCTACATGATAAGAAGTGACTCCAGTAGCTTGTTTGAAATGTCTGTAATTTGTAGCTGACTTGTTGCTGACTTAAAGTGTGCAATCATTTTCTGCTATCTAAAAATAGCTTTTTTTTTTTTCCCCCCCAGTTCTGGGGGAAAAGAAAAGATAATTATCTGAAAGCAACATAACTGTCAAAGGTTGTCATTACCTTGGGCTCCCTCAGATAGCAGTGCATAGCTTGTGTGACATCAGCAGCATGGACAGCATTGTGGTATGGGTTTTGGCTATGGTAATCTTCTTGAACCATAACTGGGAACCAAAAGAGAAAACAAAGATCCTTTTGTCTCCGAATGCCATGGCCACAAGTGGGAACTGGATTTAAAATACAGTTTGAGGTTTTACAGTCAGCTGCCTAAGGAGTTTCTTCAAATAGCTGTAGCTTACTTAGACTGGTGCTCTTATTGGGATACCTTTAGAGAAAAAATGCATGAAAGGATTTGTGAGGCCCAAGGGGATATACTGGGTCTAGTTCATAAATCAACTCTTTCTTGCCTTAGTGAAGGCTCTCATTCAGCAGTAAAATAAATAAGGAAGAGAAGCAAATTTATCCACCATGGAGTGTAATTATTTAGGCTGCTGTCATAGGGGAGCAATATGTCATTAAGGCAGTGCCACCTATTTTACAGCAGCAGGGAGTGAGGCCCTGATATCCTGGCATCATTTGTTATTTGACTAAGCAACTACAGTCAAAGGCATTCCTACATCCTCCAGGCAGAGAATCAAAGGATACAGCACTGGGGTATTTGGAACAAAATCTCCTGCAGTAATTTTAGTCACATCTATGTGTTCCATTTTAAAATACCAGTCCCTCTTGTTTTAGTTTGCAGTGCTGGAACTGGTCCAGCTGGACCAGGAGCACCAACGTTTTAACTCTCAGCTTTCACTCTCACAGAAGATCATCGAGGTGTATACTTCACACTCATCTATTCCTTGCTGCAGTGCCTGAACCGTTAGGTGATCCTGGGGCAACACCACACGAACACTGGAACTTGCATGTGATCTTGCCCAAAAAGCCCTCCTAGACACTATCAAATGAATCAAACGGAAAGGTAACAGGAAAATTTCCCATGGCACTCATCTCCAACATGGGGAACATCAAAGGAAGTCCTGGCCTTCAGTCTGCTTCCAGCTCCACAAGCATCTGAAGTTACAGTGGGTAATCCTTTAAACCCTGAATACCACTAGCTCTAATTATCTGAATGTCCACTTCATGGCTGCCCACAGGAGTTAGAAATGGCAGGAAGATTTTGTCTGTCTCCACACTGAAGGAATGCTTTCCAGAAGAGACAATTAGGCAGTCTTAAAGAAGAGACCCTGCCTTGGGAACTCCAACTGACAGCCTAACAAACCAGCATTCAGCTGCATTCAAAACACGATGCAAAAAGTAATTGATTTTGGCCAATTTCTTCTTTTGGTTCGCTGACAGCATGGGGCTAATATTTCTGTTGGCAGTTACAGCAGCAGGGGCTTTCATCAACACTATTCAGTGCAGACAGCTTGATATAATTTGTTAAATTTTGCACATAAGCCTTTAACTACTCTGGGTCTCAGTGGTCTATTAGTCACTAAAATAATTACACTGTGCCACAATTGTACTGTGCACGGGTAGGTTCTGCAATGTCTGTCTGTCTGTCTGTCTGTCTATCTGCGTGGCCCTACTCAGCTGGCCACATCTCTGCATGGCATACTTTTTTTTTTAAATCGTCAGTGCAGTTGTGGTACTGGGATGCTTCAGCCCTATGCAGAGCCTTCTGAAGTCCCTCCATGGACAATAGATACTGAACCCAAGTACCTGAGTGCCTGAAAACTTTATGCTAACATAGACCACAGAAATGTTTTACTGAAATATTTCAACAACATCATGATTTTACACATATATGCAGACCGAGCCAATGCCTTCTTTGACGCCCTACTTAAACTGTAAACTGCATTTAAAGATGGCTTTGAGGTGAGCACTTACCTAAAAACCTGTGTAATGTAACCATATCTAACTGGAAATGGTGAATAAGTCCATGCACGTTGAAGAGGTGACAAAGCAGTGTTACGAGACTGTTTCCTAAAAGCAGAAACAAACAACTCTTAGATTCCGTTAGCATGTAGATACAGAGGAAGACTAAAAATCTTTGTAATTTCCTATTAGTCAGCTCCTACCACCTTAGCTCCTATCATGTGATACTTAGATGACACTCACACCCAAATGTAGTTTATATAAATTACTCCTATATATAACCAAGATTTGATGCTATGGCCGCACCAGTGGAGTGCCATCCTTGTGTCTAGATGCCATCAAGTCACACTTGCTGTTTCAATGTGACATAAAAGGTCAATTGATATGGTTTCCACTGGAAATCTTTTGACAGGCTTGAGAACTACATCATCTTCACAATCCAGGTCTACCTCCAGAAATTATAATGGCTTTTCTGCCATTTCAGTTTGCTATACTGTATTAATTAATTAATTACCGAGAAACCAGCAGTTTGTAATTTATTTTTTTATTTTACACATGGCTGTATCAACACGTAATTTACAAATGTACTTAGCTCAGCTACAACTGCACCTCATCATGACGGTACAGAGAGGAAAAATGTGTTGCAGCATTTACAGACTCAAGTCCTGCTGTAACATTATGCTGGCCTTACTGTGCATCCAGTACGGGGAACACCGGCAGAATCGAGCCGAACGAGGATTCGATCACATACACAATGTATTTTAAAAAATCTGCACTGCATAATTCAGCAGCGATGTTTCCAGAAAAGGTAGAACCCCCTCCCCAAACCAACAAATCCCTACCCTGCATAAACTATGTTTGAAGGCAGTCTTTTGTTATTTAATGTAACTCAGGAAAGAAAATAAATGTATGTACAAAGAGGACATACTTATTTGACCTGGACTACTTAACAGGAGCACAGAAAGGTAATCTAGAAGAATTATGCTTTTGGTTCCCTTGCCAATTGCAGCCCATTCCACTCTTCACTGCCAGTCACCCAGCTGAATTACCCTTTAAACCAACTTTTTTCTACACCATCTACCCCAGCCAAATCTAATGAGATTGTCGGTGAGGAAAGAGGGATCTCATGCCTAAGAGAAATACAGAAAGGAGCAAGGTGTGATCATGACCCTCTTCAGCAGCTACCTGATCAAGAAGTATTGCCAAGATGTTGGGGGGGTGTGTGGTGTAAAAGACCGATACTCAGACAAAAGTTTTTAACTGTCTTAATGAATTTCCTAATTTTCACTGCTGAACAGAAGCAAGGATATCTTCAGTTAAAGATATTTCATATTGACAGAAATTGAACAATTATGGAGGTCTGGACAAATATATCTAATAGATCTATTTAAAGTACCTTTGGAATTTCATAGGTAAAGGAAACTGAAACACCTCCTTCAAAAGGCGACCAAAACAAACTTAGGAAATAATATTAACATAAAAACACCATTAAAATACTATCCTATAGCAGGAAAAGCCAGAAAATGTTCAAGGATATGATTTAAGGTAAGTTAACTGCGTCCAGTTTCTCTTCAGTAAACTAAATGGGAAATGTTTAGCAAGTAATTAATTAGGGATTTTTAGAATAGTCATATATGAGAAATTTAAAAAAAAAAATAATTCAAAAAAATTACTTACCATTCGTCAAGCGGTCAAACAAGAAAATGTCAAAATCCCACATTCCCACTTTGGATAGCATATGCTAGAAAAAGCAAATATCAAAAGGCAAATGACAAGCAAGTCAAACTGTAAAGCAGATTTAAATAGTTATTTCACATTAATCAATCACAAGATTGGTTGCTTCAGCTTTGAAGTTTTGTTTGGGAAAGCTGTAGAGATGTATTTGAAATATCAGACACCAGGAACCAAATTTTGCTATTCTGCATAAAATATCACTTGCAATTTTGAGGACGTTTTAAAATTGACACTAAAAATACCTTCTAAATGGAGCTTAAAATATGGAATAATATAAATTAAAATATTATTAATATATTCCCTTTCACTGCACAACTTTTTATTGTTCTTTCACGCCCCTAAATCAATTCAGTACAAATTCTTTTTTATTACAGTAAATCACAATTTTAGTTCTCATGGTGAATATGAATGACATTTTGCTAAACAAACCAGAACACAGGAATAACTTTTATAGACTTAGATACAGTCCTTTTGTGAAGCCCACTCAGCATGCAGAAGAATCCATCATTACCACCATATACAGTGTCTTTACAGCTACATCAATTAAGTCAAGAGACTGAATCTGGACTAACTGTATAACCTACAGTGACATATGTGTGAAAAATGTGCACTCACTCCCATCACATAGCCTACATTCAAACCATTTCGGGGTTCTGAATGGCTTTCTAACATCTTTGCATGTGATCTTCTCTTGCAGAGAATAAAACTTGCCAAGGCACATAATACCAATGCCATCTGTGGTGCCAGTTTTGTTAGAAAATGCTATTGAAAGCAAGCATAAGAGCTGCAAAGTAGGAGAATTGTACTTGGAATACTGTGAAGAACGTTGCAGTCAATGTTCCCTGTTTCTCAGCCTTTGCCATTCTGGAGAGCTATTGTGGGTTGCCTAATAGCTGCTCCATACCAGCTGAGAGACAGCTGTCTTTTTTCAAGTGGATGAACCAAATCTTGTGTCAAGGCTGCACTTACTCAGATCAGTAACTTAGCCAAGGATCCTTCATCCTTTAATAAATCCAGATTATAATTTCATCTGTCAGAATCTGATACCGTCTGGAATATTATTAAAAGAAACAGGGATCTGGAGACCCGTCTTACCCTTGCTTGCCCAAGGTAGTCCTCATCCAGTAGGTACAGAGAGGCCTGTGGTACAATTCCATGCAGGAACCGGGATGCATGGAAATACCTCTGGAAACTTAACAGTCTTTTCACTTTTTTCTTGGTGCCAATTTCCCCTGAGAGTGTAGTATCTGTGAAAAGCAATCAGTACGAAACCATGAAAACCAAAGTGAAAGCCACCATTCTCAATGTATTAATATGAGAAAAAGAAAAAACTTTAAAAATAGTAAGACAAAACCCCTAAAGCTCATGCTTCTTGCCAGTCATCCACATGAAGGAGCAGTTTTAAATCCCTATACTTCAGCATAATGCATTTGTTTATTTCAGAAAGGAAATACACTCCAGTAAAAAGAGTACTAAAGCAGGATTTGGAAGATCTGAGTTCTGTACACTGCCTGCCACAGGCTTTAATAGGATCCAGGCTAGGTCACTAGGGGGGTGATATACACATGTTTAGAGGGAGACTAAAAGACCAGGTAGGTAGATATGGGAAAGCTGCTCTTACTCTTCTGTGCCTCTGTTCCCTAGCTATACAGCTGAAAATAGCATTACCTCACTACCTCACAGGAGCATCACTGGCATATATTAAGATTGCAGAGCACTAACATACACGGTGATCTTGCATATAAAGCCAAAAAATTGACACCAAAAGAGACCTCAAAACACCATCTGAAAGTGCAAATGTATAGCCCACTTTTGGAAAATGAGAGAAAAGAGAGAAGTAAGTAAGAATAGGCTAATACTACTATTGTATTGTCTGCTGTCCTTCCTACACATTAAGGCAAATTACAAATGAAGAAAATATTGTAGTTCTACAATTAAGAAAGAAAGTATATTCAGGCAAAATATGCATTTTTGGTTGCACAACAGAATATGTTCTTTTCACTCAGTACCAGGATAATTCTAATTCCCTAATGCTGTATTAGAAGATTCTCATATAGGGCTAAATTGGACATAAAAACCAAGGCAGTTTTTATACAGTGATTAAGTCAGTAATTAGAGTAATTAAATTACCTTACTGTCATTATGAAAAATACGCAGCCTTCCTAAAATTGATAATTACTCTGGCAACATCATCTAAACTTTTAACAGAACTTCACGTACAGTTGTGATGTTTTAATTTTTCAGTCTGGTTTAAGTTTTGGAAAAAGGGAGGCCAGAAACTGGACATTTGTTCAAAGGTAGCAAAATTCAACATTTTTTTTTGTAGAACCTTCCAAGAAAGTGAAAATCAAGCATTCCTTTTAAAGCACAGTAATGATTGCTTGAGATAAGAAGCTGTGTAGCAATTCTCTAGATTTCAAGTTTAAATAAGAGCTCAGGAAAAATATGCATGGACTGAAAGTAACTATTCTGCTGTTTCTTTCTAAGAAACAATGCTGTGTGTTCTGTGGAATTAAAATATGACTTTCTCTGCTTTTGTTATGAGTATTATTATTATGAGACATTTTTCAGGAAAGTCATTAAGGGTTTTATGGATTGTATATAGTTCAGTATTTGAATTCTCCAACAGCAGATGTGTGAGCACCTTCTGTAGCAAGTTCATTCCTTAAGTAATCCAACAGCTATTAAATGACACAAAGTCAGTAATAACAACAACAAAAAAAACAAACAGACTTTCTGAGTATCAATAATTAATTTCTTACACCTATATGTCTCATACTTCTTGTGGGCAGCCCAAAGACCCCACTGAGTTTTAATAATATAAAAGCACAAAATAATTTTATTGCAACTTGACGAGCCATGTGTTTTCAAGAACGCAAACAGTTTCACAATGTCACTACTGTACAAGCCTGAAGGTTAGATTTACATTTATGATGTGCCAGCACCTGCCTTAATTCTCTCACACATTTTAAAAGCTGGAACAATTTCATGGCCTGTTGAAGGAGTGACTAACGTAGGTGCTAACAGTTACCCAGTGACAACGACATGTGGAGAAACTGTTAGACTTGTTTTCACATTTCTTTGCATTTATATAGTGCTGCTAAGAAGTGGCTGGCATTCATTTAATTCCTGGATAACAAAACACTCTTAAAATGAATTCACTTTTCAAAATTGTGTCAGCTTTCTTGACTTCCCCACTCTCCTAATTCTGTCTTTGTCCACAAACTGTCACTGTTTTCAGGTAAAAAGCTTTAATTTTGAAGTACGGAAAACTTCCCTTTTGTACATTAAAAACAAGTAGTTGGTGTCCAAGTAATTTTTATGTAAGTTAATACATGTTTTTGTAGTTAAACACAGATGATGGAAATTATCACTTATGTTCCCCCAAACTGTCTATAAAACTCACACATAGAGTTGGTGTGGGTGATCTGAAGGTGAGGGTTTGACCTTAGTCCCAACAAGCCGCTGTACGTTGGATTATGAGAAACTGGTTATTTTATCCTTTGGATTACCAGATTATTTCAGTAGTGAAGATTAATACTTTCCAAACCACAAACACATCAGGTTAAAATAAATACTTTCTTGCTGTGAAACATACTTTCTGAATCGAGCCATCAAACTTGTTGCCAATGCCTTGCCACATTACTCCATACAGTTGTCAGGGGTTTCAACTGAAACTTAATAATTGGCAGACAGTGCCTCTGAAACATGACTTGCTGCTTCAGATGAGCATTGTATTATAATACATTATGCACAAAAAGATGATCCACAATGATACATTGCCCTGTATTTTTCCATTCATAAGGGGAGGAGTTCATAATACCGGTAAAGAACGGCAGCAAAGTGATTTCAAAATGGGAATCTTGACAGAAAGCCCAAATCCCACAATGCAGGCTATCCACATGCAAACTCTGGATGCTGACTTACAGGACATCAAGCTAAAGTCACATCCTTTGGGTCATTTCGGTAAAAATTGATTTGTCTATGAATCATAGGACTGTTCAGAAGATTGCTATGACCCATAACAGATTTCTATGCTGTCCACAGTAATCACAGAATGGTAGGGTTTTGAAGGGACCTCTGGAGATCATCTAGTCCAACCCCTCAATGTACTTTATTATGATGGTTTCTTGCATAATCTTGGACTGACTCTGCCCTTCTCCAAGCACAACACACCCTAACTATTATAATCTCATCAACTCTTTCCTTTTTCCCCCCACAAGTTCAGTATCAAAGAAAAAAGAAAAAGAAAAGCACACCCATATGAAGTTGAGAGGAAAAGGATGATTACAAAAGAAGAGTAAAAGGTGAAGCAGCTGGGAGTGAATGCTCGAATTCTGTCCTCAGCTCAGCAGTCAAAACTCAATCTCCCAGCAGTGAAAAGCCATTCCAGGCATATGGGATCAGCCAGTAAACACAAAATCAAGATGCAGTTTTAAGATGAAATTGTTTACGTGAATGACTTCTAGTAATATGCTGAACATATTACTACTTATTGACAACTGTAAATTTCAATTTCAAGTCTAAATATAAAATTTTGATGATGACACCTCATGTTAGTCATACAATGACTTTGAAACATAAAGAGTTATTAACAGCTCGTTCTAATTCAATCCAATTAAATTACAAGTAAATGAATCAAAAATATCATTTCAGATATCACTGAGCTTTGTTGTGGAACTATGGGTACTAAAATAGGCTATATTATCTAGGTAGAACACAAGCTGCAAGGATTACACAGGAAGCATTTAGTAATTATATGCAATTTTGAAATTAATGTGAAAGGCAAACAAGAATGTCTTTTGTTTATATCCATAAAACTTGCCTTGAAAACTGTGTTTATCTTTAATCATTGTGGCAACTTCTGAAAGTTTTGTTTACCTAAAAAAAAAAAGCACCATCTCTATCTCTTGAAAGATGCCCCTTCTCATATCCTGTGGAGTTGCTGCCCAGCACAGCAGTTGGTAAAATCCTTCTCTGTATACTGAACAAAGTTATTGTGTGAATTACATAGACATATTGTATGAATTACATACACATTTACAGAAGCATCTATATAAGAATTCCTCAGAAAACTTCTACCTTCAAAAACACAGGCGCCCTGAGCTCACAGCATGTCTCCTGGTGTGTTTTAGCAGGCAGCAAAAGTGGTTGCATTTTTCTTTAGGTAATTTGATAGCCACATCATGCATACACACTATCAGACCCTGGATGATGTCTGGATACTGCACATGGCCCTCAAGAGGTTAATAAGCTACAGGAATCAATGGTTGCCTTCACTCTCCCAACAAAGTTTCTCCAGTTACACATATCTGCTCAGCTTAACATGACCTACGGCTTACTACATCCCAGCCTCTGTTATTTCAGGGAAAATGTTTCCTGCACTAGGAGCTGCTACCATTTTTCTCTCAGATTTCTTTCACATTGCTGTGCTAGCATGTGCCCACAGGCTGTGTGAATATAAAAAATGATGGAGGTTATGTGAACAATGGTTGAGTTAACATCCAGACACGATCACATAAATCAAATTTGGACACGGATGTATTTAACCCTGCACCAGACATTCAGTACATTGTTATTGTTCTTTCCAAGTAAACAAACTTGGTTATGCATTCAAATAAGGTCTCTTGAGTTTTCCTTCACAGTATTGCCTTTTTTCTTTTTTTGTACCCCAGTGTACAATAAAAACAGGTCACCCAGCAGCATGAGCAGATAACAACAGGTTCATTAATTTTCAAAAACTAACTGATTCGTAAGCAGAAAGTGTTTTTCCTCTTCTTTCCAAAAGGATGCAGAATAAATCAGGCCCTCAAGCACCCGCCTTGGACTTGTGGATTATAATACCCTTTCCCCTCTTCTGAGGATGTAAAGACATTCTGTAGTCAGCCACTGCTCTACAGCTGTATGCCTCAAGAGTCAGGCAGGATTGCCAGAAAAGTGCTGGAATATCTGGAAGATAAGGTGACAGGATCAGACCTGCAATTTACTGTCCGGACAGTTTGCAAACAGTGAGGACTCTGGGAAGCAATTTGTCTCTGGTCCTGTATGTTATGGAGGTCATTTCCTGCACTGGTTCTGGGCTTGACAGCTGACGAGAATGTTTTCATTTGAGAGCCCAAGAGGTATGTAATTGACTTACCAGTAATAAGTAGTGCTTGCCCATGTTCTTGTGTGTCAAATCATCCCAGACATTTAGATCACCTTTACGTAACTCTTGTTTGCCATATTCATTGCATGACCTGGTTGC